AAGAAAAAAAAAAAAAAAAAAAACGGAAATCGCAGACGGTGGTTTATCGAAAACGGTGATGAAGAGTATAAGGCAAGGTTTGCTAAAGAGTGTTTGTGTTGTGTTGTGTTGTGTGATGAAGTAAGAGTGGTGAATAGGGTGCAGGGGAGGGAGGGTTTGATTGTGTGCAACGCAACGCAACGCATGCAGGTTGAATAAACGACAGAGCGCGTTGGGGGAAATAACCGAAATGCCACTGCGTCTGAAAGTCTGAGCTGGTTTTGTCAGTTAAATGGTGGCTGTGGAAGGAAGAGGCAGAAAGTCCAAAACGACACGGCCTGCTGACGTCACGGTTTTTTTGGGACCGAAAAGGTCAAGGCGCTGCCATAAAAGTAAAAGGGGAAGAAATTTTTGCCTTTCTTTTTCGTGGAAATTAAGTTTTTTTACTCTTTTTTAATTCTCATTATTTGACTTTATGGTTGGGACCAGTTATTGCCATCTTTGAATTCATCTAAATTCTTTCAGGAATTTAGGTGCATTGATTTAATGCCCTACTACAACCATGGACGGCCTAGTTAATGCTTTCAATTCAATTCATTTTTTATTTTTTTTCATCTCTAAATTTATGAACTTTATTTATATTATAAATATTTATTTGACCATTTCAAAAATTAATATAATAATATTTTCAAATTTAGAAGAAGAAAAAAAGGGTAATTTCAGAAAAGAAAAAAAAATTGTCAAATTTTCTGACAAATGAAGTTACTTCCACTTCCACCCACCGTGTTCAATGTAATAAATTGTCTTTGCATTCATTGCACCAACACAGAGAGGGAGAGGACATCATTCAAAACTTTTACTACTATTTTTGTGGTTCTAAACTTTTAATATCTAGACATGTGAAATAAAATTGCTTCCCAATTCCCATAGTGATTGGAAATATATTTTATGAATTAGTCCACCATTTTTAAATTTACGAATAAAGAAAATATCACTCAACATTTTCATAAAATAATCTTTTAAAAGGATTGCCATATTCATGTTGACATTTTTGGAGGGACACTGTTAATTTGCTGAACATGAGCCTCCTGAGATATAACTATAAGTCCTTACATGTCACTTTTTGGGTAAACTAATCAATATGCACTTTCTTTTTTACTTCGGTTACTTTTTATAATTATACTTTTAGTAGAATGGAAATCTTAAGGGTAGATGTACAGTGTGTTTGTATCAGCGTCAAAACGTGACTTTTTATATTTTAACCGGAAGAAAAAAATAGTTTTTCCGTAAATTAATAATTAAACGTGGAAAGATGAAGAATTTACGTTTAAAAATGGAAACCAAACACGCACGTAGACTAGAGATGAAATAATTAATTGAATCATAAATATTTACTATATATTAATGATTAAAGGGTGATGTTAATAAATGTCTAAGAATTCATTTACTACTTAAAGATATAATTAATATATCATATTAAATATTACTATTTGTTTAAAGTAAGCATTAAAAGCTTCTTTATAATTTTAATAATATTAGGATAATATAGCTTTTGAAAACCATTTATTGATAACTTCATTGATCGGTAATTCTAGTAAAAAAAATATGACGAACTCACCTTTAATAAGATCTCTCGCTCTAATTATATAACTTTTTTTTAATAAAATTTGATGTCAAAATCTTTCTTAAACACCGAATTTAGTTTTGCTAATATCACTAGCTTATATTCTTAAATTTAATCTCACATGTATCGGTGAAGTATTAGAGTATAAATATAGCAACATTTTTCTTTGGGTACGTTTAATTTCCTTAAAAAGGGTTTAAGTACATTGATGCAATTAGAGGCTTACTTTAATATGACATTAGTTGGGTTGAAAAGGAAAAGTAGTACATCACTACAATTAGCTACTTCACTTAACAGATGCGCCTTTGTTATCGGGTAGAAATGTAGAATTAAGAATGTTAACGTAAAATTATTTGGGTACGTTTTATTTCCTTTTTATTTTTAATTACCAAATTATTTTATTATTTTCAAATATTTGTACAGAAACAGAGAAACTGAAATTATTTATATTTATACTGTAAAAAAATTATATTTATATTATTTATTTACTACTCATAACAATTTTATCCCACTTCAACATTGTTATCTCTTGTGGGAGGGAATTTTTTTACGTAAATATAATTTTGGCTTAATTGCACTTTTGGTCCTCCTAATCTAGTGTAGGAGTAATTTTGGTCCTCATAATTTGAATTGCTTAATTTTGGTTCATAAATTTAAATAATGGACAATTTTAGTCCCACAAACAATTTACCATCCAAAATTTAACAGACATTAATAATGTGAATTTTATGCTAAATAAACATTAATTATATATCATTTAATTTCTTACGTGTCAAATTATTTAATATTCAAATTTTAAATTCAAATAACATTGAAAACAACATGAAAAGAGTATTGATATCAATCGTAGTGAGAATTTTTCACTAAAATAGTTTTTTTTTTAAAATTACCAAAAAAGCACCTGTACCAATTTATTTACCCAAGTAGCACCTTTCACTGTTCACGTTCAGAATTCGGTTTCCGGGGAGACAAATAATGAGCTGTTAATTTTTTATTTTTTTTTGCGTTTTGGATTTGAGCATGGTGTAAAATTGGATCCAGCTCGTTCTCCTTTCAGAACGGCCCGTTCTCCTTGCAGCACTTGTAGAAAGGTCTGTTCTCCTTTTAGAACGGGCCGTTCCGGATGTAAAAATACACACATGACGATGGATCAAAACGGGCCGTTCTGCTTGGACGTTTCAGTTTCAAAATTAACAGACTACGAACGACCCGTTCTGCTTGGAGAAAGGGCCATGCCAGTTGCAACATTAACACGTATAAGAAAGAGAAATATAAAATAAATGAATTTAAAATTTTTAAAATTTGAATAGTAAATAATTTGACACGGAAGAAATTAAATAATATATAATTAATGTTTATTTAGCATAAAATCCATATCATTAATGTCTGTTAAATTTTGGATGATAAATTGCTTGTGGGACTAAAATTGCCCATTATTTGAATTTATGGACCAAAATTAAGCAATTCAAATTATGAGGACCAAAATTGTTCCTACACTAAATTAGGAGGACCAAAAGTATAACTAAGCCTAAAATTTTTTAAAAAAAGAATTACTAAAACAAACTTTTCCACACATTATTTATCAAAGTTGACTCATTTATTGTATAAGGTTAGGATTCGGTCCCTGAAAAATTGAATTATGACCTGCTATAGTGGCTCTCCTGTGTGGTGATGACTGTCGAAATTTGATTCCCGGGTTTACGTTTTTAAAAATATCAATTTAAAGTTTTAAATTTATATATTATTACAATAATAAATAATAATAAGTTAATTATTAATTAAATAAAATAAGATAACTATTATTTAAATAAATAAGTTAATTAATAATTAAATAAAATAAGTTCATTATTAACGAAATAAAATAATAAAATAATTAATTAAATAAAACAAGATAATTACTATTTAAATAAAATAATTTAAATATTAATTAAATAGAATAATTTAATTATTAATTTAATAAAATAAGTTAATTATTAATTAAATAAAAAAGATAATTATTATTTAAATAAAATAAGTTAATTATTAATTAAATAAGACAATTTAATTATTAATTAAATAAAATAAGTTAATTATTAATTAAATAAAATAAGATAAATATTATTTAAATAAAATAAGTTAATTATTATTTAAATAAATTTAGTTAATTAATATTTAAATAAAATAAGTTAAATAATTCATTGATGAAGGCATGTTGCATTAAAAATAAAAATTCATAACAATATTACATTAAGACAAAGTGAATTACATAAGGTTTAATCTCCTTAATGTTGCCCAGTTCCATAATAAGGGGACGTCTGTTACGTCCTGGGTTACACTGTGGTGGTTGTTGTTCTGCATGATTTGGATCATCTTCAAGGACTTATTGTTGGAATGCAACTGAGAAACTACTAAGTTCATTAGCAAAATCCAGTTGGTAAAGAGATTGCATGTATTACTGTGTTAAAGATGGAGTTGTAAAATCTATTATAAATAAGTTTGTAAAGAAATCATCTGAAGTTGTTGTAAATGAATGTCTTCTATCAATTATGTTTGTTTGTGGCATCATGTTGTGTGGAAGATTTAATACATGCTAGTGAGTCTCTTTATACGACAACATGGAAGTCGTACTGCTTTCAAATGTGGTGGTAGTCCTTCACATTGGTTTAAAACTTTAAATTTTTATTTTTTAAAAATTTCAATTTTTTAAAAACATAAAATAAAAAAGGCTGCTCAGAATTCGACTCCTCAGGAACCAATTCCGAAAGCCATCACCATACCGGAGAGTCTTTGTTGCAGGTCAGAATTTAGTTTCCTGGGGACCAAATTCTGACCTTGCACAATGAATGAGTTTACTTTGGTAAATAATGTGTGGGACAGTTTATTTTGGTAATTTTTTTAAAAAGAAATTATATTTACGTAAAAAAAAATTGTGGGAGATACGTGATCTCTACAACAAATTAATTATTTATTCTATCTTTTCATCTGATGAATATAATTTTTATTATTTAATGTATTTTAATTCAATAGGTATAATTTATTATTCAATGTGTGTTTTCATCCATTAAATATACAATATTATTAAATAATCACAATTTAAAATCTTTAAAAGGTAAGTTTTAATGATAATAAATTAAGACATTTTCAAAAAAAAAAATCTAAAAATTATATGTGAAAGACAATATAATTAGTTTTAGTATCAAACGAATATGAAT